CGGGCCACTCCAGCCCCGGCCCCGGGCAAGCTGCCCACGTGCCAGCCCTGAACCCACTTCTCCAGGGGTCATCTGGAGACCAGAATTCCCATCTGATCCCAGTGCTCTGCTGCACCATGCAGCACTGCTCAGCCCTCCGCACCCCCCACCCCACCCTTGCAGGTCCAAGGATCTTGCAGCTCATCTCCAGAGGTGCCTAGATCCTCTGAGGAAATTTGGGGGGACCTGTGCTCTGCATGAGTCCTGATTATTCAACCCTGTCTGCTCCTCCCCTCCCTACTCTCCTTCACATACTCCACATGGCCTGGGATCTGGGTGAGTTTCTAGTTAACCCCCGTGCCAATGTTCCCTGTGCCCTTGTGTAGCTGCTCAGGGGAGCTTCTACTGCTGCCCAGCTCACGCACAGAGCACCCACAGCTAGGGGTGTTTCTCCTGCTGGTGCACATTCACACATGCTTTGGTGCACAGAAAAAAAAATATTCCGCACATGGCTGGAAAAGATTCACGGGAACATTGGCTGGGAGTCCAGACCTACTGCTGCCCAGCTCACGCACAGAGCACCCACAGCTAGGGGTGTTTCTCCTGCTGGTGCACATTCACACATGCTTTGGTGCACAGAAAAAAAAATATTCCGCACATGGCTGGAAAAGATTCACGGGAACATTGGCTGGGAGTCCAGACTGAGAGGCTACATGGGGAACTGGCGGGGGCGGAAGATAGCATACTCCATGGCTCGTGCCCCACACACGCTCCCCACAGGAGCTTTCGGGAGAGCTGCCTTCTCTTACACCACTGGGGACGCCCAACGAGCTTTTGGGGAGACCCCCTGGGGCCTGACAAACAGTCAAGGTGTTGCTTAGGCAACGCCCCCAGGCCGCTGGGGAAGGCGGAGGGCCATGGCACATGACTCCAGGCTGCTTCTCCCGGATCTTGGCCGGGCTCCCCCCCATCCTCCTGCCCCCCATTCACGTGCCAGGACAACGGGGGCCAGCAGAGAACCCGGCACCCGCGGGGCAGCACGGCAGCCTGGCTCCCAGCTCTGGGAGAGCCGGGCCTTCCCTGCATCCGAGGCGGGGGGTCAGGCTACAGCCCTGCATTCAGGACAAGCAGGGCGCACCGCGGAGAAGAGCTTCGTGCAACGGGTTCCCCAGCTCCTCGGGGTGGTGGGTTCTCTGCTCGCCCCCTTTACACGAACCTTGCCCTCGCACACCCAGCCGTGCCCCAGTGCGACTGCCCCCCCGCAGGGCCCCTCTCCCCGCGCCTACCTTCTGGGGGGCGTCCTGCTCGGGCACGAGCCAGTCCAGTTCGGAAGCAGCCGGGAGCTGCATCCCTTCAAACTGCTTCAGCAGGCCCATGGCCACGGCCTCGGCCGAGTTCGAGTGGAGGGAGGGGAGGGAGATGGAG